AGAGACTTGCACTGCGCGTCATAAAGAGCATCTCAAACAAACTACAGACCTTCATTAACAGTTGTCTTCGCTCAATACTCAAGATCAGATGGCCAGCCAGAAAAGATCAGCAACAGGGTTCTTTGGGAGCGAACCAACCAAGAACCGATTGTGAAACAAATAGGCAGGAAGAAATGGAGGTGGATTGGCCACAGTCTAAGGAAGCCATCAAGTAACATCACTAGACAAACCATTGCTCGAGTGGAACCCGAAAGGGAAGCGGCGAGTTGGTCGTCAATGCAAGGGCAACTTGGAAGAGGTCGTGTGAAGAGGAGATGACAACGTGTGAGCAGACATGGAGACAGGTGAAGACTCTAGCAGAGAACCGAACGCAATGGAGACTCACTGTTGAAGCCCTATGTTCCTGTAGGAATTAAAGGATACAATAATAATAATAATAATAAATGCTTGTACTTGAAATGACTGTCGACATACACATATGTGAGTGAACATTCATAAACAGACCAATTAATGTATAAAAGTGCTGAATTCCTGGATAAGACATATTCGTTACTCATTCGTAATTCATCTTCATAAATTAACTGGCACAGTAAACTCTGATGAGACACTTGAAAAAAGATTAGTAAGTAATAACACCCTCTTCTGTAGTACTATGTCATGGGTTTTCCATCCTTTATGCAATAGTGATTTCACACAATAAATCTCATAATCTTTGACATTGTAAGATTCAAAAGCTCAGGTTTCGATGCCCCAATATTCTAGTGATTATCAAGACGATGACGATGATTTCAACGACATGTCATCAGAAGTGAATTACTTTCAAGTGAGTGGAATGTCGTGGAACACTAGCAGTTGTAAGAGGAAAATAAAGATACGCTTCTCTGTGACTATATCTATGTTGTTCTTGATAACAAGTGCTACATGAGCACATTTATGTTAAATCTGAAGTCGAGGTGGATCCAATGTTTAATTTCACCTGAATACTGCCATTTGTTGAAACTCTCTGAACTTACAGAACAACAGGAAATGGGAAGAAACAATAGATATATTGAAGTTCAAATAATTCGGATTTATTTTCACGTGTCTTATTTGTATAAGTGTCACTGGTTCAGCCGTAAAATGCTCGCCAACCCCTCATGCGGTATAGGGATCGGTCTCTGGCTGACACTCGTAAACCTCACCAAGCCCATAGTAAGGCCGGTAAAGAGTGAAGGTTAGGCGTAAGGCTAGCAAACTCACTGCTATCGAAAATACTAAGCTCTAGCTTAAAGCCCTATGTTCCACTTAGAACATCAGGGAATAAAATAAATGAAAAATAACTTATTTGTATTGAATCGGTATTGAGACATTGTGTGATTCGCAGTCATTATGCAGTGAATGAAGTGTTAAGGTGATCAGTTTTTATTTGCAAATTTGAAAAGAAGATTTGATAATGTACAACTTGCTTGGTGACTAAATCAGTTACCTTACAAACAGTCAGGTACAATCCTCATTGAATTCACATTCAGTATATAACAGAGAAAGATTTGAATAACTTTTGAGCATGCTTTGCAGTCATCATGAAAGAATGACAGCTTGTTTAATTTCAACCTGTAATAACATCTTCGCATAATCTTCCATAACTCACCTTTGGAAGTGCAACCCGTAATTTGCATATGCAGCTTGTGAATAACGAGAAATAAGACATCCTAGAAATCTAGATCCAGTGGGGTTGTAATGTTGGTCAAACATTTCTCCTTCATTGCACTTCTCATGGTCAGCAGCATAATTCAGTTCACTACAGTTTGAAAGTCAGTCAGTCAGTGATAGAAGAAGTCCTCTTCTTGTCCCTGTGGGCACTACAAGCAATTCGCCGAGACTTCCTTTGTGAACTACTTGGCAATAGGCATCACCACATGGCAGTTGAATGAGTGTATAAATATGTCGAAATTTTATTGCAAAATTTCAACGAAAGTGAAATGAGTAATTCCACCGTTTCGCTCGGTGAACTGATCTTTAGGTAAATTAATCGAAATTCAAATAACAGAGGTCATATTACAGTCTATTTTGTGTTCCGTTTCTATCAAGTACGGTGCAATCGCCGATCTGTTTTCTAGCTTCTTCAAGTCTGCAGAGGTCTTTGGAATCACCTTTATAGATATTTTATGCTCCTTTACTCTTATATTTACCTGTCAGGAAACTTCTGCACATATGAGAAAGGTTTTGGTTTGTATAAAGAAAGACTGACTGGAGAAGCCCTACATATGTGGATAAATCCCAAAAGTTTGAACAGCAGTGAAAACATTATTTTAGTTGGTGTATGGTAAGTCCTGATTAATAAATAATAACGGATATGTATCACTGATCAGTCATACTGGATCTACATTATTGGTTGTCTGTATCTCCTTATGGAGAGGCTAGTAAATGATTTACAATCATTGCCGCATACACATACGCACACTACTGTATACCACAATACATATATTTTTTTTCATGAACTTTAGTCAAACGTAATCACTAAAATCCATATGCAAAAGTACACACTGTTTACGGTGTTTAAAAAAAGCAGACTTTGATAAAGCTATTAGCATTCAATAGCAAAATGTCAGTAAAAACAATATCGTTTTGTTTTTCATTCATTGAGAAATACAAAAACCTTCATTATGATGAAAGCAGACTAATATCTGGAGGTCTGAAGTCGAATTTTGACCAAAGTTCATGCAAATTTGTTTTTTATTATTATTTTTTGCTTGTTCCATGACCCATAAGATTAAACTAAGTTTTTAATAACAAAAGATGTATTATATATGTAAAACTCTCTTATTTTAATTTCGATTAATTCCTTCTACACTTGATTCATTTCGGGCGAATTCTTTTCTGTACACTGTTTAACTACTTCGCTTGCAGTGGGAAGGAGCAGTAATCCTCACTACTTCATGCATCAACAGGTTTATTAAAATTTTTATGTCCTCATCTGAGGTCATGTTCACTGTTACTCGTGATTTCCCTCAGATTTCTTCTCTCAGTCTATATTTTGTTCATGTCTATAGCACTGATTAACTTTCCTTCCTTTCGAGTTTGATAGGGTTTTCGTGATGCTGAAGAAGATTAATTCGAATTACATAAAGCCTATGAGGTCGTTAGTAACATCACTATAGCTACACACTCAGTGTGCTCTCAGTTGTCGACTAGTTGTCATTAGCACATAATTGAATAACTAGTCAAAAATATGAACAGTTCACTGCAAATCAGTTCGCACTGACTGTCTCATAGCACGTTTATGCCTTATCTTCTCAAGTGTTATTGAATCTAAGCGACTCTCACAACCCACCTCAAACATACGAGTAGTTTTATAAGGTATGATATTTATCATAATGTCGGTGGTTCTCTTCTGCCTCAGTTGACAACAGCTTACGTTGATGCTTATGATTGTAGGCATCCTGAGATGATTTTGGGCTTGTCGAATCGTTGGAAATAGAGATGCTCATTACTGAAAAATTAAGTTTTCTTGGTTAAGATCAGGCAAAATAAGGTGTAAACGACCTTGTCATACCTAAATGCTGTAATGAGAATTTGAACGGTCGTTTCCGCACACCTGGTTACAAAGGATGGCTACTTCGAATAACTCTAAATAAAATGATTCTTATACAACTGTATGCAGTTAAATATTTAAGGCTATCTTAATGAAGACCCTCACGGTAAAGTTTCGAAGAGAACATTACTTCTAGGTTTACTCTGTTATGCGATTAAATGACGGAAAATCGCGCAACCAGCCATAATGAAATTCATAAAACAATGACTGCGGAGTAAGGAAATCTACGAAGGTGGGGTGGGATGGATAAACTGTTTGAATAAAAGCATAATACGTAAATGAAAGTGTTGATAGGAGAGATAACAAGGACATTATTAACAGCACTGAAATACAGTGTATGTTTGACATAAATCAACATATATTGTTTGAACTTTGAAGGGGAATCATCTCCTTATAGGAAGCATGTAAACAAAGTAAATTAGAAACGGTTGATGATTGGCCATCGTCAAACTGGGTTTTTCATCTATGCGGACTCTTTTCGCGTTTTCAAATGAGACCATCAGTCAACCAACGTGACCTGGAAAACATTCCAACCTGTCTTTCTCCATGATTAATTCAATTTAGTCTATTTGCTTATCGGTCTTATATATCCCAAAATAATTTCAATAGTATATATGTCCCCTATATATGGAGAGTATTAAGCTAACCAGTTCTACCGAAATTTTATGAATTCCTTAAATCCTGCTTTATTAAACTTTATTGCTTGTTTTAAATTCGTATCGGGAAATAAATGTTTTCAACCAACAAACAAGTGACAAATTAGAACTGAACATGAGTTAAATGTAAATTTAACACTTGTTCATAATAATTCTTATATTCAGCAATGTTTGATTTCGTACTGCAAATTTCATGAAGATGCTTCATGCTCTCAGAAGAGACTAACATTCTCCAGCTTGTTCGAAATGTTTTACCCAAATACATCGCGCAACTCAGACAAATTACGTCTTCTTATTGATTTGACTATATTCAGCTTCATTCATCAAATACGCGTTTTAAATTTATAGTAAAATGTCAGCTAATTGGCCGTATATTTATGCGGTGAGAATTAAGTTGACATCATTGTTTAAAGGTGCCTTTTTTATTCTCTTGAATCATGAGTTTTTCAAAATATTAGACAATTCAGATCAGAGTAACTGGTTGGAATATTGATTTTTACTAGAGTATGAACGTCTAGAGCTTTGGATCAAAGTTTAAAGAATGAATTGGATATAATAAAGTATAATTATATTTCAATAGTTTACACATAATGATAAGTTTTGTTATTAGTAATATTTCGAAATATTACCAATAACAAAACTTATCATTGTGTGTAAACTATTGAAATATAATTATACTTTATTTGATCTAATCAAACTTTTTACTGATATGAGTTGGATATATATATATATATATATATGTATATATATAGTTATAATATTTTTATTTGACTTGCTATCCAGACCACTTCAATCAGAAGTAAGTACTGCCTTTTCCATGATTTGTCGTTATTGTCATCTCCTGATTCAACAGAATGTGTTCACGAGGCTTCATACAGTCACAGATTACAGGTTAACTTATATGCCTGTATATCATGCCGCGTTCACTATCGATGGATGAAGATATATGGAAATAATCACTTTTGAATCATCATATATGTTTCGTAGAATACTGACATTGCGTAGAAAGATCCTATCGCTTATACATACATGTAAAATTTCTCAGTACTGTTGTAGTAGGCAGTGATTTTATTGTGAGCACGCTTTCTAAATATGAACCAGGTAAACTAGCACTGTCGCTAAAAAAAATTAATGTTTATGCTTCTTATTTTCGAATGAAAGCATCATCCACCCAAAACTATATTTATGAAACAAATTACGGTGATGTCATTCCCAGTATGAAAGAAGTACCTGAACTATTACATGTTCAAATAATAATCAACTAACTTGTCTTAAATTAGGCATAATAGATAATCAGGCCTGACGACTAACTGAATTATCCAAATTTGAGAAATCTTTATTTCGACATCATCATAAATAGCACTTATTAACCCATCATGTGAAAACGTGCTCGACTATACAAGTGTAAATGATCTACCATTGTTATTTGTATTACCAAGAACATCGATTTAACCTAACAGTGATATTGGATTTGTTATTGTTTAGATCAGCAAAACATTTCCGATGGATTGGCTGCTCCTAGTAGCAATATTTACCATGTGAGTTCCACATTCTGAGATATTTTAGACAATATCATTATTACAACATGATTATCAATAGCTTAATGTTGGTGATGAGTGAAGACAAACCCGAAAATGGCCCTAATAAACCTTGAGTAATACAATGAACAGACTGAATTCAGCTTCGAAATTCAGTGGAATCCAGGTTTCAATTAATGTTCTTGAAATGGCTTTATTCTCCATTAGAATTTTCACTTAACTGAAGGAGTTTTAATGAAAGAAATAGCAAATAATTAAGAAACAACAATAGTTTCCTTGATTTTATGACACATCTTTGGTGTCAAGCATTCGCACCACTGATAGGGATAAAGAGAGAGAAGTCTGCTCTAATGGACACTCTTGAAAATCTACCGATACCTTTTAATCTGCTACGCTGTACGTTACACAACAAAGTGGATCTGTAGACTGATAATGAAGACTTATTTATCCAAAACAGAGGAAATATACACCAGATATATATAAGTAAAATGGTGCATTAATCCGAGGTATGAAATAATGTGACTGCCAGCAATAAATTCTCTTTGATACTTCATTCAGGGAACAGTTCCATTTTAACTTGTGGTACATTACACCAAAATATAGTGTGCGAACATAAACCCCTGCATAATTTGACTCGAACTGATATGCTTCTATCACTGACATTCAATATGCAAAATTTTTTTCCTTTTAGAGCAGTCATTGTGGCCCTTAGTTTAATGCAGTTCTTCGAATTCAGAAGTAAATACATAGTTTCATGCTCATTCATCGGAATATTGGTAAGTTCTTGAGAGAATGGAAATGGTGAGCTGAAATTGTTTACTCATGATCGTTTGTTGTCTATTGCACCATTTTTATGTAAGTGAGGACAGACCAGGAAATATGCTGAAATTGGCCACTTTTATTCAAAGTGGTCCATAGTATACGTGGCTTGTGATACATTTGCTGAATACATTTGCCTCACTCAGTAAATTTAGAGTTGAGAAAAATGGTTCAAAGTGCTTATCCAACCGAGAGGTATTTCATAATGAAGCAAGTGTCACTAAGCTTACCTATCTGGCTTATTTCAAAGGTACTCATCGAAAGGAAATTAGTCTGGATGACAAGCAGTTCTAAAATAAAATCAGTCAGCATCATTTAACGACAGAACGCCTTCTCCTGGATAAATCCTACACCTACAAGTGGTTGGTCAGTAGTCGGAATAGCTATAGGATTTCATACGCAATTTGAACACGGGATGAGACTTGTCTGAGCTAAGGTAATGACTTTTTAAAAATTCATGTGAAAACACACGTACAAGTTTTCATTGCGCGAAACATTGATCCACGCTGTTATCCTGATCACCCGCAATATCAAGTTTACTAGTAGTCAGTAATTTTAACGCCTATATTATTCCATATCTTAATGTCAGTAGCGGTCAAATGAAATGGTAATAATTAACTACCGTGGGGATAGTTTTGGTGCCATTTGATCTGAAATTACAGTGACACTTAAATTTATTGAATACAACTTAATTTAATACCGTTTTTTTAATTTTAAATTTATTCTGTAAACAGCTTATGCTATTTTCATCAGATATATGTTTGGTGGTTTGCAAAGAATCTAAAATATCCTGTTGGTTTTTAATTGGCTTCATATTTTTGGAAGATATATTAGCAATTATTTTCTGTTATATAACGAAAAGACTGAAAGCAAATGTGGTAATCGCATTGGCAGTTTCAGCATTGGTTTGTCTTGCTATTCCTACAATTTCAAGTATTGTAAATTGCAAACAGGTATGCGAATTGAAGTAAAAAACCTGAAATGCTGCGTACCAACATTTATTCCTGTAATCACTAGAACTGTTGGATTAGTTGCATAACTCACAAAATTCCACTCATTCTCTAATCTTTACAACCTTGAAATTTAACGAATTACATTAGAGTGAAATAATCAAAGTCAACTAGTGAATAAATTCAACAGAGAAATAAATATTGAAATGCACTTTAACACACTATTTACTTTCCACATACACATTAGTTTCCTCTTTTGATCTACTACTTCGAAGTCTGACCAATACAGTCAGAGGTCTTACGCAAATTAAATTAATATTTAGGAACCATAAAATTCTCAATATATCCAAAACACAAGAAATGAAACTATCTATAAGAGGATAGAATTTTCATACTGTTATAATAACACTTCGTCATAGGATTATGTGGTTTGATGATAACATAGTGGTACAACATTATGTAGTGATGACTTTTCAAGCATAGTGTGTTTCCCATAGACATATCAAGGGACTCATATGATCTTCACAATTTATTTACAATATTCAACTTTTCCACGTAGTCTTATTTTAATGGTAGTGATATTTTTTACATCTCTGGTATCGGTGTTGCGTCTTCTAATAGTGTTAAACAATAGTATTTTTGAAATTTGCAGTGGGCATTGTTTGTTAATTAAAACAATTTAGTTAATTTCATACGCTGTAACGATTTTGAGTTTGGACTCATCGGTCATTTTAAAAGTGAGAATCACTTGGATTGGCGAAGCGATTTGCCTCAACGAGATCTGAATTAACTACCCTAGCTTGATATGTGACTACATGCAGCTGAAGATGATCATTTAACAGCATGAGACAAGAAGGTAGCAATGAAATTGACTACAACATCGTAGATGTACGGACTGATAACTGAAAATTCACTTGTCAACATAACTGAGAAGGGGTGATTTGATACCTGTCTCGGATATCTGGAGAACTCCAGTAGCCCTATGGTGTCTGAGTAAGGAGATTCGAAATCTAAAAAATTCAGAAATGCTCACTAATCGAGTGGATAAGTGTGCAAATCATGACACTGTTCCTTCCTGAAATGCGACTGAAACGGCAAGTCCTAATACTGAAATCAGTTGAAGTCAATCACTCACACGTGGTTTTGAAATGAATACACAGCAATACATGTCAGTGATAAATTTGTGCATTGCAGACTAGATCAGTTTAATCACATTCATATTTCAATAGTTGTTAACACACACAAAGATAATTGTTTTTATATTTTGGTAATATTTCAAGAAAAATTACTGCCCTGGTGTAATTGTTTTTCAATTAAAAAAATATTACCAAAATAGGAGAAACTTATCATCGTGTGTAAATAACTATTGAAAAATGAATATAATTAATTTAACACGACTATACAAACTTCATTTCGAAATGAATACATGGTAATACATCTTGTTTTATTATTTTATTTTATTTTGATTACAGCTTGATGCCACACCGTATTTTCAGTACAAGTATGGCATTTTCAGCATGGATATCGGTAGCCCAAATTTTGCAAGCCAATCATAGACATCGGGTGTGCGTTGGTAGGGGATCGAACCCCGGACCATCTGCATGGTCGGCGAGAGTCCTAACCACTGTGCCACCGACGCAGTCGTAGGTGTAAGACTGTAAGGGATTTTGTCATATTTCTACATCCTGTGTGTGATATGGTATGCTTGAATTTCACATCGAACCATCGTGCCGGTATCCCGAATAAATCGTGAGGACTTTACAAACAGGAAGGAAATACAAATAAGAAGTATGCCAAATTATATACATATATTAAGCCATACTGCATTGTGTTTATCAGGATACATTTCATTGATAATTACTGCATCATTGTAATTCCAGGAAATCGTGCTGACGCTATCCACAATTAAGATGGAAGACTGTTCCTCATGTTCCAACCACAGAATTATTCTAGTTAAAATTCCCTTCACAGTGCTGAAATTTACTACAAAGCAAAGGCAACTTGAAATGTACATACGAAATCATGAAACTCATCTTTTCAAATGTCTTTCACTATTTACTTGGTTAGAAAGATGAATGTTTATAAGACTCAACATTTTTTTTTCAGGATATTTGCAAATTTGTGATGGGTGGCTTTTTCAACACTGCTGCGAATTTGGTGAGTTCGGACTAATTTGCTTTCTCTAATTTGCTAAAGGAAATATCAGGGTGAAATTATTTTTGATCATTTTTGACAAAATTTCATATTAAACGCGTCATTATCTAATAATGTGTACAATCACTTGTTGTCAAGATAGAAAGTTAACCAGCTGACATGAAAGTCACTAGAATACTAAACATTCATGTTGTCGTTCTATTTTTCTTTCCTCAGATAGCAGTGGTTTTGATAAACTTGCTCAAATGAGGCTGCCAACAGATACCTTTGTTACAGAGTGTTTTATTATATAACGTGTCTGTAATTTGGAATTCTCTTATTACTATCATTTGTGCATGTTGACCGTTGAATGTATGACTGTTAACGTTTAAAAACCTTAATAAATAAAGTATTAATGCGACAAAATATCCGCTTCTATTTGCGTATAGCACGTTTATTGAGGAAAAGATGTTTTTCGAATTCTCACTTTTTCATGCATCTCCACATTTCGCATACCACAGATCACACAATATTATACTGATACACTGACGTTACTCATGTACTCGTTTCAGCATGTATACATGTAGATTGAACAACTAATCACATCTTATTATCGTAGTGATCTTTGTTAATATTCTTTGCACTAATTTCAATTTTTGATTTTTAATTGTACCAGTCAAGTTCATCTCAATTTATAACTTAGTCGACATTTAATTGGTGGATAGTGACTAACGGGGGAATCAAGGATGCGCATTTCGTCCTAATTGGGACTCGTCATCTGGATGTGCCTGTATTCCTCAGTGAGTGATGATGTTCCCACCGACGAAATGCGCATCCTGGATTCCACTACTAGTCACAATCTACCAATTAACTTCCAATTATATGCCCAGACACCGTCGAAGCATCTGCACAAGAAGCCGACATGTCAACCTGAGACCGAGCACTTCCGTCTAATCAGTCGACGGGAAAATCTATAATTGAATTAAATTAGTTGGCATTTATTCCGCAAAATTAAGAAATTGAAACGTTATTGATATGCGTTTACATCCATCATCAATATTTACCTTAAAATTCATTGTCTCACACGTTGTCCCGTATATTCACGTTTGCATACAAAATCGTAAAGGTGTAAATCAAGGGTTTCCAAACTTTACATTTAATTCCCCATTGCCTGTGATAGATGGTGGCTAAAACGTGAATTCAGAAATCATGATTTTAACGGCTCTTTACTCGTTAACTTTGAGCGACTGTATCTCAGTTGGCATTGCTTTTCTAATAACAACCACATATCCAGAGAGTAAGAGTCTTTGGAGTGACGCAATGTTATATCGACGACACTGATAAATGGATAATGTATGAAACAAATGATACTGAGGAAGATTTAAAGATTTAACTTAATGTACAAAATGACGGCGTACTCTAAAATCTATGCAAACATTCATCATGATAATTTGGAAGAATCGACTTACGCTAGGTATCATCGGTCGATCACGTTGTATGTAGTAAGTGGATCACTTAACGCATATGATTTTCTTTTCAGGAATCCAGCTCGTTCAGTGTGAAGCTTGACACCTGGATAATCTTTCAGTCTTTCCAGATTGAGACGACTTAATATTTTGCTTGGCGTGGACAACAGTAGAATTCCGAGCCAATTCTTGAAGAGGCTGAAGTCGCCCTTCTTTGGTAGTTTGAAAAGGTAGCCTTGCATCTAACCAGGAGGAACCTTTCTTTCCAAACTTTTATCAGTAGTGGCGTGAGCTTATCACTAGAAAAGATAGTGAAAGAACTATTTACCAAAAATGAAGAAGAAAGAATATAAGGCATCCATACCCCCGAAAATCAAAATAATCGCCATATAAACTCCAATGCACAGAAAAAACACAAAGAGTAATGTACAAGATTCTGAATGAAAACATCAAAATCACAATGGGTGATATGAGTGTCAGTTGGTGCAGACAACACTGAAACAAAACTAACTCACCATCAGTCGGGGAGCGCTTGGTGAAATGAATGGAAACGGCGAACTCTTCACAGACTAATGTACCTCCAGTGTCTTACGGATTTGCGACAGTGTCTACAAGATCAAGGATATGAAAAAGCGATGTGGATTTCACCAGTTGGACACACCGAAAATCAGATTGACTTCATCGCCTTCTCGAAACAGTGTAGACTCAGCCTGCTAGACACAAAACTAATAAGAGGAGTAAATGTTGTCATGGACCATTATCTAGTGCAGCTAACTTTCGGAGTCAATTCTAGTTCGACACTCAGAAACTGAAGGTTGACACCACTAAGGACACTTTTATGGCAGCCATCAGAAGTAATTTGGAGACATTATTTAAAATCGCTGAGGAAAACTGAGTGGATAAACACCAGAATTCACTGAAAGTGACGTTCAAGGGAAACTTCATGGCCGTCTTAAGATGAAACATTAGGAAAGACAAGGAATGGTTTTCGACGGATATATGGGATCTTATAGACACAAGACGAGTGGTGAAATAAAAACTGAATCAGTGTACGAAAGAGGATATTAATTTCAGTGCGCAAGAAGTGAAGACGAGTGCTAGGAAAGACAAAAGAGAATTCTACGAAACACCGGCAACTGTAATGGAAAGAGACTGCAGGTGAGAGAAACCTCAGAACATCATCTGAGATAACTAGACAGCTAACAAGGCTGAAATTCCTATTCTCTTTTGTTCAGTATCTGGGAAAGATGAACACAAAAGCAGCCAATGTAAGATAGCGAAGCAAAGCTAATTAACAATAAGAAGAAAATTAAACAGAAGGCTGATCACTTCAAAGAACTCTCGAACCGACCACGAGCTATAGCTGGTCCAGAATTATTGCCATCACCAGCAGACCTGCCATTTAGTATCGATCCTTAGACTAAACCAGAAGTCTTCGATGTCATGAAAGTACTGAGACCTAGTTAGGGGGGAAGAAAGATCAGACGGAATACTTATGAAACACTCAGAACGGATTCAGAGACCCCAGAGAATATCTTCACTCCAACGTTGAACAAAGTTTAGAAGTAACGAAAGGTGCCTATTGACTGAAAGGAATGCTACCAGAGTAAAGCAAATTACACCTTTGCAAAATCTGGTCCTGAATCATGCTGATTTCAACATCCGGCCGAATTTTATGTGGCATTATCCGGAACAGACTACAAGATGCTCTGGATAAAAAGCTCTGCTATCACGTAAAGACAACTGTGCGCGAGTCATATTTCTGCGCTACTTAACTTCACCGAAAAGACTATAAAACAGCAGTCAAATCTCTGCCCCAAACTAATCGCTTTTGAAGAGGCTTTTAACAGCACTGGCTGCGAAATGATTTGGGATCTCCTTCAAATCTCTGAAGTCAAGAAAGACGTAGGACTAGGTTGCCCATTACCACAGAAGACATCCATGATTACGGTAGAGTGCATCATGCGATAGACCTTAAAGATAAATTCTACAGTAGTACTTTAGGTCGACAGAAAAACTCTTAAAGTATTGGATTTTTTGGATGATTTTTGTGCAATATAACAAGGATTTAAGGGTTTGCATTCGAAAATCATTAAGTTGACAGCAGAAGGATAAAAAGAGGACTCTAAGTATATAGAAATATGACATCGGCACTAAGGCTACTTAACCAATGATGACAATAGGCATCAATCACCACCGACGCCAGAAATCTAAGTGAAGTCATCTCCTTCATTTTCAACAACACTATCAAGTCAGTCCTTTTATATAGTTCACAGGATTGTCTCACGCATCAGCGACCGCATTCACAAAAGAAATCCGCAGATACTCATGAACAGTTGCTTTCGCTCCATAGGGGATATAAAATCTCAGGCCTGGAAGGATAAGCAACATACACTGTCTAATGGAACCCGATAAGGAAACGCCGATTTGGGCGTCAGAGGAAATCGTAGGAGGATATGAGATTCTATGGGCAAAAGTTGGTCCAACTAAAGAATACTGTAGAGAACAGGAAGTAATGGAGAAGTGCTGCTGAGACCCGATATTTCACCCGAATTGCAACGGAATAATAGTACTAATAATACAATTTCACTATATAAATAATAGAAGTGTATGAACAAAACTGGAGGTCTAGTTGGTGCATCCATATGACGATGAGCAATAAATTATGCTGCAAACATCATTAGTAATAATGTTGTATCACTCTCTGCTTCTGTCAAATAAAATTATTCTTTGATTGAATTATACACCACCACAGAACACAAGTTATTTTCTTATATCAATGAAGCTACTGATGGATTGATATGAACACCTAAATACTTTTCATTTCAACCAGAGGTGTTGGATACTCCATATCTCTGACCAGAATCCAAGTTATCTGAACGGATTTGGATCCGTCAGCTGAGATAACTTGGGTACACCAGTGATAAGATCAACTGTGAACAAGAGAAACTGCCATCTGGTGTTAAGACCACTTCCGTATGGACATGATATGAGTGATATCAAACTACTCGTATAACTCTATTAGTAGTATATAACGCTGTGAAACATTTATATTTCAAAAGACGAAATGGTTATCGAAGACTAGATCGGAGATTATCACCTAAGCATTGCTGAATCAGCCACCAGAATGAACTTTTGCTGATTTAGCTACAGACAACTACCAGTGAACATCAAACAGCTCTCCAACACTAACAGAGGTCTTGAATCACATAAAGCTAATGAAAGTCGGAAAGTCAGATGGACTAGGTAGAATTCCACCTAAAGTAATTAAAACATACCCGGAGATTCCGAAGGTTACGAAGCAAGGGAAGGTAGCTTCGGATTGGAAAACATTCTGTATTTTCTATAAACTCGTGAGATTAACTAGCAGATACCATGACGCCATTTCGCCTGTTTCCGTGATAATCATTATTAGTAAGAAGTAGATCACATAATGTGATCTGAACAATTTCGGTTTCCAAAGGAGGCAGTTGTGAATTACCACCTCGAAACGTTTAATTGGTACATAAATTGCATCATATATATTACCAGTTCATTCAAGTATCTTGTCAATATCCAGGTGGTTTCAAATGATTTTGGCTTTCTCAGTTGAGTCAGTCAGGGTACACAATTGATCTTGATACCAGTTGTGTGGTAAGACCATCCAGTGTGGAGAACAGTACTGTTCAGCAAGCCACCGTTATTTAATAATAATAATAATAGTAGCTCAACGCAGTGGACATTTTTCACGAAAGGATGAGAAATCGGTTTCAGAAATCTGAAAATATTAGTGTAAACTGAGCGAAATTATCAGATACCAAAGCGCAGCGTATGCTACAGAGACAAAACGTTTGATATAGTTGTTACAGGATGCAATGGAACTATACTCGGCCATTTAGAATATGTTTCGAAACTGGACTAGT